CCCCCCCTCCCGTTAGCTAGGCCCCAGAACTCTGTCTGCACGGCAGCAGAGGGAGCTGGCTTGAGCAAGGATCCTTAGGCGGCAGGGGCTGGTGGGGCAGCGCCCAGGGACGCGATAGGCCAGGAGTGGTCTGATAGCCGGGCTGATGGATCCCAGAGCCACGATTAAGGTAGAAGACTGTGAATCTGACACCCGCTGTCAGCTCCAGGAGGCCCTGGAAATGTTTCTCATGAATTAGATTTGTGCAGGCTGCTCTGCTGTGGTAAGCTAGCACAGGCACCTCAGGGCACTCCACTGGCCATCTGCCTGGAGGACCAGGGCTGCAGGCTCCTGGAGGAGAAGGGAAGCGCCCCCGCCCCCCTAATCAGGGACCACTGATGTCTCAGGAGTCACAGTCCTTGTTAGGGGTCAGAGCTGGAAAGGGCTGAGGGTCCTTCTGGATCCATGCTTCCATTTTACACAGATTACTCTCGGGAACTGAGGCTCAGAGAGAAGAGAGACACCCAGGATCACACAGCACATTATGGGCCATGTTGGGACTGGACACCAGGGATCCTAACTTTCAGGCTGTCTTGCCCAGCTGAAGGACGGTCACAAGGAGTCAGAGTGTACACACAGGCATTTGTCAGTCCTGAGAACGAGAGAGCGAGACAGAAAGAGACAGGGAGAGAGAAAGAGAGACAAAAAGAGAAACAGAGCAAGTCAGTGAAGGAGAACAGCGGAGACAGGAAGGAGAGCCATAGAGACTGAGGGCAGAAAGAGAAGTGAAGAGTGTGGTTGGAGCAAGGCAGATAGTCTGCCTGCCACCCTGTGAGCCCTGGCACCAGTCCCAGGACCAGGGGACACGCAGGCTCCTGTTGGCTTTCCCACCTTCCCCCGTGCATGCCCACCTCATAGAGCCTTGTCCTGGGCTGGCGGGTCTCTGACATTGGCCCTGCCAGGGCTGCCAAGAACTGAATGGAACACGCAGTGTTTCCCTCCATCACTGGCCTAGACGTTCCAGAGCTCACCTGTGTGCTGAACGGTGGGGGGTGGAGGGGGCAGAGGAGGGCACAAAGAAGGGCTGGACAAAATTACCCCAGATAATTATCTGTGTCCACCGTGGCTGTGAAATGGAACTGACCCCATGGCGGTCAGTTTGGGGGGTTGTTTTTGCTTGTAGTACCCCAGGTCTACCAAATCAGGGCCTGCATTTGAACAAGACTCCCGGTTACCTCCCCCAGCGAATCTGTGGGCCCATTACAGTTTGAGAAGCAACCTGACCGTCTCTGGGCACAGAAGCCAAGGCTGTTGGGACCGGAATGGACCCCGAGTGGGGCTTTCTCAGCTGGTTCGGTGCCAGCCAAATACAAAACCCAGATGGCTGCTGCCCGGCAGCCAGTTCTGACTTAGAATGACCCTGTGGGACAGAGTAGAGCTGCCCTCCGTGGTTTCGAAGATGGCTGATCTCACGGGAGCAGACTGCCCTTTGGCCAGGTTCGAAGGGCTCACCTTTCATTCAGCAGCTGGACCTTTATCCACTGGGCTCCTGGATAGGGTGTAAGGACAGCAGCAGGGAGTGGGGAGGGAGCGCTTCCCAGGGCAAGAATGCCTCACCTACCCAGAAAGTAGCCCCCAGCCACCTCAGGGAGGAAGAGCTGAGATGCTCTGAAGAAAGAGGGGGTTGGAAAGCCTGCAGGGGCACCGAGCTGAGCACCCACCCGCCCCACCTTCCTGCTGTGGACACACCCCCGTTCTAACCCTCTGGCGATGGCCCTGCCAGCCCCAGATGGTGTAGAAGCTGGAAAGGCAGGAGGGAGAAGGGTGACTGGCTTGCCAGGAGGAGGTAGAGAGTAAATAAAAATCACAATGGATGCCCCAAAACACAGGCTCTGGGTCCATTTAGTGGTTGGGGGGGGGCGGGAAGGGGGGCAAGAAACACCGCCAAGGGCACAGTGAAGTCAGGAAGTTACGGAGCTGGGAACCCGGGTTGAAACCCAAATCAGCCAGCGGACTAACTGCCGGACCTGGGTGCAGAGTGACTGCCCCAAGCTCCATGCCCGCCATGAGCCCCGGTGGTAATAGCGGGTGACTTGTGGGGCGGCTAACCTCAAGGTCAGGAGTTTGAAGCCACCAGCTGCTCCATAGGGGAAAGAGGCGGCTTGTTACTCCTGTGAAGATCCACAGCCTTAGAAACCCACCAAGGCACTTCTACCCTGTGTCCCAGGGCGGCTATGAGTCAAAATCGACTCCGGCAATGAGCTTGAGGTTTTAATGGCGTGGCTATTGTGAGAGATTAGAGGGGATACAAGGGAGCGCGAGCGGGAAAGGGCTGGGCAGTCATCTGATGCGCTTCATGAGCAGGGTCACCAGGTTCCCGCGAGAGATGTGAGCGCTCTCAGAACCAGATGGGGCCTCACCATCAACCCGTGCATAATGATAATAACTGATCCAAGGGGTTATGGGGAGGGAATGCGGCGGGGAGGGTGATAGGGAGGGAAAGGGGATTTCTGGAGTAAATAAGTTGGGAGGGGGGAGGGAGCACTAGAACGGATCGTGATTGCACAACTCATTTTAAAGGTGATTTAACCAGGTGTGTGTGTGTGTGGGGGGGTGCTCGAAAATGGATGTGGTGACGATTGTACAATTATCCTTGATATGACTGAGCGATTGATTGTATGAGGGGTAAATTGTGTGCCAATGAAACTGTTGGGGGAGGACGGATAAAGAATGAAACAGAAGTACGAGGGGGTACAAATACAAATATGTTTGGTGTTGAAAGGGGCAGGACTTCCGTTCGCACAGGAGAGAGGTTTGCCACCGGAAGAGCTGCAGGCATGTGAGCCAGTTCAGGGGCTGTTAGGACAAGGTGCTGCAGGCACTTGTGCTGCGACTCGGCACTGAGCATGGGGTGGTCTCAGTGTGGCTCCTGCGTGAGTGTGCACGGAGGGGTGGGGCCCGGGGCTCAGAGAAGACCCTGACTCTTAGGAGAATGGAGGGCAGGGACCCCTGAGAAGGACCCTAGACTGTGCCTTTCCTCCCTCCCTGCTCTGCTCTCACCCTGGTACCAGCAGATCTTCTTTGCTTTCGAGGCGGAACTCAAATGCCACCTCTTTCAGGAAGCTTTCCCTGCTTTGGATACCCATTCAACTGGTGTCTGTCTCTTCCTCCTGGGAACCCTTCCCAGCACCATGTTCACTAGGGCCTGTGCCAAGAGCTCCGGTTGCCTGAGCACTAATCTTCATAATTAACCAGCGAGGCGGATTTCACCTTTCCCACTTGCAAGATAGGAAAGCCGAGATCAGAGAGAGCGAAAACTTCCTCAAGGTCACACAGTCGGTCAGGAGCAAAGCCAGGACTCTAGCCCAAGTTTGCCGGACTCTGGGCTATCGACCTTTCCCACGCCCCTGAATGACAAATTCTGAAGGCAGAAATTCTCTCCAGGCCATTGTAGCTTGCCTGCTTTAGTTTTTCTGAATGAATGAAATGGCAAATGAAGGAATGAACATCAGAAGTGGCCGTGGCTTGCCAAGGTGATAGCTCAGAGCCCGGCCAGATCCGGTCATCCTCTGTGTTAATAAAGATTTATTAGAACACAGACACATGCCCTGGCTTCTCTGGCTGCCTTCCTGCTTACAAAAGAAGTGCTGACAAAGACCACATGGCCCACGAAGCTGAACGCGTGGGCTCTCTGGCTCTACAGACAATGTTTCGTGTCTCCTGCTGCAGGCTGGTTCTTACCATCTGCAGTCAAGCTGACCCCCAATGCACGGTGATCGCCGGTGCAATGCCTGAAACACCGCCTGGACCCCGGTGATAAGTCGCAGATCCGACGATTGTGATCTGCAGGGTTTTCAGCAGGAGATCTGAAGTAGATGGACAGGCCTTTCCTTCTGAGGCCATCTTCGTCAGGACTCATCAAGCGGCACTCAGACCTCCACTGACAGGCAGGTGATGCCTGGCTGCTCGAGTGATGTCCTGGTGAGGCATGCCACCCTTACCCCCCCTCCTCTGTGGACGGTGAGAAGCTTGCCCCCAATCTGTTAATGCCGTGCGTGGTCTTTACTAAGCTGGCTTCAGCATCAGTGCTTATTTCCAGCCCCTAACCATCTTGTCCGGATCCCTGGGGGTACAGTGGTCATGCCCTGGGCTGCCCACCACAGGCCAGCAGTTTGAAACCACCAGCTGCTCCATAGGAAGAAGAGGAGGCTTTCTACTCCTGTAAAGAGTTGACAGTCTCAGAAACCCATAGGGGTAGCCCTACCCTGCCCTAGTGGGGTCACTGGGAGTTGGAATCGACCTGATGGCAGTGGGATGGGCCGATAATCATGTCGTCTCTGATCTAAATTTGTGTGTGTGTGTGTGTGTGCATACATGTGTGCACACCAGCCTGCATGTGCATATGCCATCTCATTGGGTCTAATGATAAAGTATCAGACAGCTTCCACGTGTGTCTGGCGGGATGCCGCCTTATTATTGAATAGGTAGCTTTCATCTAAAAATTAGGCCCTCCCTGGTTTGTCCCATGTGCCCTTTGGATGGGCATTTCCATCACGTTTAGCTTTGCAGCATCTTGGCGCAGACATGGTGGGAGTGCAGACGCCTTGCCAGCCAAGGTCTTCCCTGAAACAGGAAGGTGGCCACCCACTGGGAGGCATTGTGGGAGTGGACTTGAGGCTTGCCAGAGCAGGATTGACATATCAGCGTTAGAGTTGAATGGAAAGCAGCCTGTTGGACAGATTGTGCTCCGTCTCCGCTGGCAACACTGATCCGTGTCCCTGAGCTGCCAGCCTCCCCTCCACCCCAGGGTCCAGGGCACGCTTCCCTCTCCAAGGCTCCTCCTCGTACAGCTCCCCTGGGAGGCCAGAGCAGGGTGCTTCCGGGAGGTCAGACCTGCCCTCTCTGGACCCCTGGCTTCTGAGGCAGAAGCAACATCAAAGCAGGGATTGGCTGGATCCCACCCCAAATGCCAGGCAGGCTAGGCGGCAGGAGCAGTCGGGGGTGTGACTACTCTCAGCCTGCCTCCAGCCTGCGTTCCAGGCCAGTTGGCCTGGGCCTGGCCCCCCGCTATGACCGGCCCATCTCGCAGCCTCTCGCATCTGCTCATCATCTCAGGACTGCTCTGTTACTCAGCACGCTGCTGCGGTGAGTTGTGTGTGTGTATGTGTGTGTGTACTGTTTTGATTTAAAAAACAAAAAACAAAAAGGACTTGGGAAACAGATTTGTTCAGGAAGCTTTCAGCAGTCTTTGCATTTGCAATTTCTCCTCCACTCTGGGATGGCAAAGTAAGGAGGATTTGCTAGTGGAGTTGATGGGGACCTGGGCAAACACACTCGTGTGTGTGCCCCTCCTGTGCCCTTGACTTTGGTGTGGCCAGCTGGCAGCTGCTTTCACTTGGTGAAGTCTCTTTGAAATAAGGTGGTGGTGAGGGGTCTGGGACCACCCCTGGCCTGGGTGACCAAGGGGCTCTGCTCACCCCCAGGCTGAATCGCTTGGATAATGTAGCTCCCTCCATCGTCCTGCTAGATGGCTGTCTTTGGAGGTCATGTCCTCATCTGTCCCTCAGGCCCACTCCCAGGCAGGGACAGTCAGCATTGGATTACCCAGTAGGCCAGGTAAGCCTGGGCTTCTTTGTGCTTACTTACTAATGTGTAGTGAACAATTTCACGTTGTTGTTGTTTTCCCCCACATCAAATTGTGTTTCTAAGTATGACCAGTGTGTGTCTCTCTCCGGACCTCATAGCCCCTCCTTACAGAGTCCCGCCAGCCTCTGAGCCAGGAGCACCCAGTGTGCCAAAGATGTGCCCAAACCCATGTGGCACTGTTCCCTACAGATCAGTCAGTAAGCGCCCCTAAGCCTGCGCTTACCTTGCTTACTGAGTGCTCAAGAGACAGGTGCCAGCATGTCTGGGAGCAGAGTCTCTGAGGTGGTAAAAGAGAAAGAGAAAAATTGTTCACTACCGATAGTCCGTAAGCACACATCACAGCGTGCTTCCCTTGTTTATTGGGTCATGGGACACAGCTCACAAGGCGGAGGATGTCAGATTATGGAGTCCGCAGCCTGGGTACACGCGGTTACAGCATGTGAGCTCACCTTAGTCCTGGCCATCTTCCCAGTCGGGTGAGCCAGCCCGTTGGGTCCCATCTTCCTTTGGTGGCTTCTCAAAGCCCCTTTGCTTGGTGCGAGGGGTCGCTGGGTGCAAATGCCCGAGGCAGAGACGAAAAGGAGGTCTCGAGCAACCTCCTGGTGGGCTGGTCCAGATGCAGACGGTGGTGGTCCCAGCATCACACATGGAGGATCAAGACTTCGAAGGTGCTTTCTGCCAAACCTCTTAGGGGTTACCTTTCCCTGCTGTCTGAAAGAAGAGCAGCCCTAGGAAGCTTTCCTCAGCCAGAATGGGGTAAGGTGAAGTTGCGAGCATCATTCATTTATCTGGGGGAAATTCCCGGGTGCTCAATCATGCCCAGCAGCGCATAAATCCTAAAATAGCATGAACATGGAGTGTTCTCAGTACAAAGCCACAGCAGAGGGATGCTGAGATGCTGGGTGTGGTTCCCGGTGAAGGCGCCAGGTGGCGCCGCGCTCGCGACTCCAAGAGGTTTGCTGCCTTTAACAGGTCAACTGCAACAACAAAAAATACTGACCACTAGTTTTCTTCTCCTTTTTCATAAAATCGAGTATCTCCACTGGAAATTCTTTCAGTTAGTGAAAACAGGCACAACATAGGCTTTTCCTACAAGCCGATAAAGTGAGCTTTCAGAAAGCAGGGAACACCTTGTTTTAAACCCCAAGGAAACGGAGCCTTCGAGACACTGTTGCGCTGGTCACGTGGCCACTCGGACCCGTTCTAAAAGCCTTTGCTCCAAGTCATTCTATTTCTACTGCTCAGTTGGAGCGAATCCTTTCTAAGGATGCGCTTCCGTTTCTTAAAAGGATGCATAGAAGTCTCCTTTGGAAGAGCAGGTATTGATTGGGTCCAATGGATAAAACCAGTAATGGCATTAGCCAAAACTGCCACACCTGTGCTAATTGCCTGCATACCAAGGGCATCATTTCTCGTGTGGTTTGGCAAGGCGGTGGCCACACACCCTCTGGCTTGAGTGTCTCTAAGCCCGGCCAGTGAGCCTGGTGTTCCACTGAGTTGGTATTTCCGGGCCACGTGGCCCCCAGCTGAGCAGGCTCTGCGAAAACTGGGTTGTTTCCATTCCTGCAGCCTGGGGGCTTTTCCAGGCGGGACCCTGAGCTCACCCCGGCTCTGTGGGGGCAACGCGCTCCTGAGAGAGACCCACAGGCCGCTCAGACCACACCAAAATAGACATGTAAAGTCCCGGCTTAGCTGACCGGGTGGGAAGCTGTTCCTAGCCGTGTCCACCTGATGGAAATATTCGGAGCTGGAATGGGCCGTAAATAAACTAGACCGTGCTAAAAACAAACTGCTCCAGGGTGTGTGTGTGTGGGTGGGGGGGAGGACAGAGAGGAGATCGCTGGCCTTCACCTCCTGAGATAAAGTAGGTCAAGAGGAGAAGGGTGAGGAAGACGAAGGGTGGGGTACCAGGCAGATTCTCAGGAGGAAATGCAGCTGATTAATTTATGTCCGCTGAAGGGGTCTCCAGTTTCCCTGGACGAAATCGGAGGAGTGGGGTGGGGGGAGAGGGATTGCCTTTCACAGGGTGTGGGGTGGGCACTGGAGGCCATAGAAGGTCTGGAAAAAACTCGATGGTGATGATTGTCAATTAGCTGTGCCTACCTGCCAGTCTCCCAGGTGCTTCCGGCGGAAGAGGCTTTGTGGGAAATTGTAGCCTGAGCCCTTAGCAGTCTGCTGTGGAAGAGAGAGGCCCAGGGGAGACTGTTTGGGGCCTTGAAGGGGTCCTGGTGCACATCTGCTAGTCCCATGCTGCTCACTCTTACCTTAACATCTGGGGAGGGGGGAGGCTTTTAGAAACATCCTGTTGACATGCACTTCGGGGTCTTAGGTATCAGTTCAGGTTCTCGCTGAGTTGATGCTGACTCAAGGTGACCCCAGATGTGCTGAGCGAAACTGCTCCCTTGAGGTTTCATGGCTGTGGCCTTTTCCAGGTAATCACCTGGCCCTTTTGAGATACCTCTGGGTGGATTAGAATCACCAACCTTGTGGTTAGTGACCGAGTGCTTAACTGGTGGCCCCATCCAGGGACACCTTCTGTCACCACAGGGCTGTTTTGTTTGGCTGCTGGAAAAGCAGCCCATGGCCCCTGGGGCTGACCTGACACCCAGAGCTGAGCCAACATGTTCTCCTATTTAATGCCAACCATGTCTCAGAACGGCAGCAGGCAAAGTCCCCGTGTGATTAAGGTGGGCCCCTCCTTAATCAAGTCTGAACACAGAGGATGTGGAACAAAGCCTGTCACTGTTGATGTCAGATGGATCTCTGCTCAATGCAGAAGACACCAGAAATATGCTCACTTGTGTTTTATTGACTGTGCAAAGGCATCTAATTGTGTGGATCCTAACAACCTATGGATAATATTGAGCAGAATGGGCATTCCAGAATGCCTCATTGTGCTCATGTGGAACCTGTACAAGGGTCTGCTGCATGGTTAAAGATCAGGAGAGGTGTGCATCAGGGTTGTATCCTTTCACCATACTTCATCAATTGGAGAAAATACATTGAGAAGCTGGACTATTTAAAGGAGAACCCGGCATCAGGATTGGAGGCTTCTTTACAACCTGCGATACACAGACAAGTAGCCTTGCTTGTTTAAAAAAAAAAAAAGCAGAAGAAGAGGAACTTGTTGGTGAAACAATTGTTGATGAAGATCAATGACTGTAGCCTTCCATATGGATTGATGAAGATCAATGACTGTAGCCTTCCATATGGATTGCACCTCAATGTAAAGAAAACCAAAAGCCTCACATCCGGATTAATAGATAACATCATAGGGAAGAGAGAAAAGGTTGACGTTGTCAATGACTTCATCTTGCTTGGATCCACAATCAATACTCTCAGTGCAGCAGTCAGGATGTCACATGACAACTTGCCTTGGGCATATCTGCTGCGCAAGGTTACTCTAGAGCAGGGGTCCTCAGACTTTTTAAACGGGGGCAGTTCACTGTCCCTCAGATCCGTTGGAGGGCCGGACTCTAGTTGAAAAAAACTATGAACAAATTCCTATGCACACTGCACATATCTTATTTTGAAGTGAAAAAACAAACGGCAAAAACACTCGGCGGGCCAGATGAATCTCCTCGGCGGGCCGCATGTGGCCCGTGGGCCGTGGTTTGAGGACGCCTGCTTTAGAGTGTTGAAAAGCAAGGATGTTGCTGTGAAGACTAAGGTGCGCCTGACCCAAGCCACGGAATTTTCAGTGGCCTCCTATGGACGTGGAAGTTGGATGTGGAATGAGGAAGACGAAAGAAGAAATTGAAGTATGGTGCCGGAGAAGAATATTGGAAGCACGGCAGGAAGAAAAAACAAAGCTCTCTTGGAAGAAGTGCAGACAGAATGCTCCTTAGAAGAAGCAAGATCGGGGAACTTCATCTCACCTACTTTGGATAGGTTTTTAGGAGTCTCTGGAAAAGCCCATCAGGTTTGGTCAAACAGAAGGGCAGTGGAAAAGAGGAAGGCTGTCAAGGCGGTGGACGGTGGCTGCAGCAACGGGCTGAAGCCTAGCAATGACTGGGAGGAGGGCGGGTACTGGGCAGTGTTTTGCTCTGGCATACACAGGGTCACCATGATCGGAACCGAGTCAACGGTACCTAAGAGCAGCAACCGTTTGTTACGGGCAAAGCCCTCCCTGGTGTATGTTCTCCCAATAAACCCAGGTTGGTTTAACTGCAGATGTATTCTTTTAGAAAAGGTTTATTGGCATATGATTCACTTATCATGCAACTTAATAGTTAAATCCTATGAAGAAGTGTAAACTCATCAGCACAATCTGTTTTAGAATATTTTCTTCTTTCCTGTAATCATTAGCTCCCTTTCCCCCCAACCTCCCCTGCCATACGCCCTTAGTCCAGTTAGTGTCTCTATAGATTTATGTATCCTGGATTTCATATATTGAAAAACATGCAATAATCATAATAAAACTAACAACCATAGCAAAGTAAAACAGACAAAAACCTCAATCGAAAAGAAAGCAGAAAATATTGAAAACTGGAATTAAC